CCCATCTCGACGTTGAGTATGCAAAGCCATGGATGAGAGAGAGAGCGAGTCAACATGGCTGAAAGTGCAGATTTAGAGTTAAAGAATTCTTGTTTAGGCACCACTCGCCACAGAACGGGATTCATGTGATAAAAAGAGAGAGAAAGGCCACTGAAAAAAAAATGAAGAAAATTTACCAGTTAAAGTCGCACCAAAGTCTGGAGAAAAACCACAGATGGTAGACGAAACCCTGACACTAAGGAAAGTGCAATAAGATGAAGACAGTAGGAGATGAACGTACTAGGAGTGCTCTATCTGATTGGAGGAAACAAGTAACAATATATGGGAGGAAGAAGGCACGGAAGAGTAGGCCAAACAAATCAAAAGGCGGACCCAATTCGTAAGGGTAGAAGGTGAAAGGGCATGAAGTGAGGTGGATTGCCAGGGGATAAAAAGTTGGTTGCACTTACTCTGAAAAGTAGCAGTACGTGATATATAACAATAAAGAGCCCTGACCGGACACAGAAGTCTATTCGGATCTGGTCTAGGGTAAAGATGGGATATAGAAGGAAGTGAAATACGAGAAAAGGATGAACAACCCTCCCGACCTGTTGCCGAGCTATTAGGGAGAAAAGAACGATTGGGATAAAGGAGAAGATAGGTAAGATGATAAAGGGTAAGTGAAATGTAAATGGCAAATAATCATACCATTGACATTCACAGACCAAGAGAAGAAGGAAATATGTTTTAAGGGACAGATGAAACAAGGAGCATGAGGAAGTGCTTCAAATGGAGGTAAAGTAGGGCATGAAGGACGACATTAATGTCCCAATCCAGAAGGACAGGACGCCTCAGAGGCCTCCAAATCTGGAAGGAACACATGAGCACAGTAAGAACAGGGGAAATGAAAACCCTACGATATCAGGAAAAATGAAAGGTGTGGGATAGGGCCACCTGATATCCGGAAAGCAAGGAGACCGAAGACCTACGGTAGAAAAACCAGGTGAAAAATTCCATCACACGAGCCACTGAAGCCTTGTCAGCAGGAAATCCCCTATTAGCAGACCAACAGTGGAACATTTTCCACTTATGCTGGTATACTTCCATGGAAGATGGCTGTAAGGAACTAGCTAACAAGGAGATAATTTGTGAAACTGGAGTGTCTCACCAAGGCTGGACAAAAGCTAGGTGTGAAGATGCAGGATGGGGAGATTGGGCTGTAGAATGTGGAATTGAGAAAGAAGGGAGGGAGAAAGCAGAAGAGAGACAGGTGTTGATAGGAGAACAGATGCTGTAACTTTGGAAACTAAGGTTGGGCTGGCCAATAGGGTGCAATCAGCAGGACTCAACAAGGAGTAGAGTGGACAAGAAAAATCACCCAATGGAGGGTACACATAAAGGTATTTGTGTGACCAATCCGGGCTTAAGGCATTGACTGCCAAAGCCTGTTGATGTGGTACAGGAGATCAAAAGAGAGGCAACTTGGTATTTGAAACCTGTGGCAAAAGTATCCAAATGGAGAGAACCCCATCAATGGCAAAAGTCCCTGAAAATGAGAGGATTTAATGCTCACTCCATTGGATAGATCTAGTCTGGGCACAAAAGATGATCTGTGACTAGATTGAAAGCACCTGGCACATGACATGTGATGTTCATGGGCCCAGGATAATAGATCCAACATCCAAAAACATAGATCTTGGACTGGGTGCCCCTTTGGTAGAGTTGTCCAAATGAACCATCACCAGACAATGATGGGCAAGAAGAAGGAACTGATGTAATGCCTGCCGTACCACTAGAAGTTCGAGAACATTGAGATGCAAGATGGTTTCATCAGCAAACCAATGGCCTGAAGCTTCCTGGTGATTGAGCCATGCCCCATATCCTTGAAGGGATGCATCTGTGAAAAGAAGTAGATATGGATGCGGGGGAGGAAGTACCATACCCACCAATGTATGGGCTTTGTCCAGCCACCATTGCAGATGTTCTAACAGCAAAGGAGGAAGAGAAATGGTAGTGGAAAGAAAATCCTGAGCAAGATTTCCTTGTTCATGAAGCACCCACTGCAGAGATCTCACATGGGCATGCCCAAAAGGGACCAGTGCAGTCATGCAGGACCATATCCCTAAAAGTGATACAACTTCACGAGCAGTATGTGACTGAGTCGAGAGGGCATGGTGAACTAAAAGTTCCATGAAACGAAGGTGAAAAGGAGAAGGCAGAGCAAGACTGATAATGGCGTAGAAAAAGACTCCCAAATGGACGAGATATTGAGTGGGTTGAAAGAATGACTTAGTCATCCATGTAATAATGAAATCACATGATGAGCAAAATCCCAGACTATGTGACAAAACATAAAAGGAGCCAAGGAGAGTCCAAAGGGGAGGACCCAAAATTGGTAAATCCCCTCGAGATGGACAAACCAAAGATAAGGTTGAGACAGATGTGCTAACTGGATGTGGAGATAAGCAATGGAGACATCCATTTTCTTCATTCACAACCCTGGGGAAAACGGCCATTTCAGGGTGAGAAAAGACGCCATGGTGAACTTGAGGTGTGCAATGAATCAGTTGAGGTGAGATAAATTGGTAACTGGCTGCCAATCTATGGTTTTCTTGGGGTCAACAAAAAGACAGGTATTAAAACCCCGGAAGTATGGTGGAGTAGTTTGACTGCCCTCTGCAAAATCAAATCTCGACCCGCCTCTGACAGGCCACCTGATCCCGAGGAGAAGGAAGGGAAATGAGGCAAGCAAAAACAGGAGGTGGTAAGATAAACTGGATAAAATTTTCTGATCACCCATTGATAGTCAATGAGGGGACACCAGCAAAAACAAACTCCAACAGTTGAGCTCCCACCAGACCCGAACCCACAGGGAAGTCACCTGTACTGGTGTTGATGGATGTTATGTTGTCAAGGAAATTGATGAAAAGAAGTATCCCGATTTGAAGGAAAGGGTAAGGTTTCGGAGAATGAAGGATGGGAAATGGAAACAAGTGGCATATGAGGCTCTGATCAAGACAAACAGGCTACAAAGGTCGTAAGGGTGGATTGCTGGGGGGCTGATGTCACCTGAGGCTATATGGTGTCTGGGACTGTATCAAAAACATAATGTCTCAGAAAAGGTGCAAGACCTAAGTCCCCGAGATATGTTGAAGGTAAATTGACCTGAGCCAATACTGTGTCTCTAACTATAAGGTCTCAACAACAAAGAAACCACGTATGTAAAGCCAGAGCCGAGCATAAAATGCAGGCTAATGTGGAGGAGAGAAGGTGAATGGTATCAGCAGAAAACCCCTCAGGATTTCTGTTGAGAGCCTCCAATAGGAGATTTATGGAAGAAAGTTACCATAGAAGGTTAGTTAGGGTAAGACAAAGGTGAGAATATTGGGCATAGGTAAGACTAACATTAGATTCAGGAGCTGCCCCCAAATAGGCAACAATGAACCCAACAACTGCTAATCCAAAAACAGTTAGTCCACTTGATGGTAAGAAAGAGCATATTGATCAGAAGTCCTCAGGGGGCATGGCATGTTGATCTACTCACTTAATTGTGAGACAAATTGATTCGCATGTACCCGAATATCTGGGGAGGGAGGAAATACCAAAAATGGTTGAGAAGATGTCTTATGTAACAAGAAAGGACAAAGTGAATAAGATATAGGGGAAAGGGATAAAACATCACAAACCTAAGACCCAAAATCTGTGAAGACCGATTCAGGTGTAGGTGAATCCTCAGGTTGCAATTGGGAAGGAACAGCAAACTCTGGAGATGGGAATTGATAATCAAAATCCTCGTCATTCTGAACAATTTCAGCTGACTCATGTAGCGTTCAATCTCCAGACATATAAAAGGAGAGAGATCCACCATCAGCCTGAGAAAAAACAGTGGTCATTGGTGTGATCCCCGAAGTGGTAACGTGAACTTCAGAATTCATAACTCAAGCAAATGTTCACAAATTGTTGAGTGCAGAAATATAGTGACAAGAATGAACTGATATATATAAAAAAAACTAAAAAAAAGGAACCAATTCACTGTTTGTCACACTGGAAGCACTAAGTACAAAAAAGAAAACAAATGAACTCAAATGCTGCCAAACAAGAAGTGAAGATTTGGTAGAAGAGTGTAGAGGGAGTCACATACATCACGTGAGCATGTCATGCTACTAGTAATTGATATGATGCATGACAATTTGCATGAGAGACATGATGGAATATAGTAATTCCAATAATGGGGAAGTGCAAGGCTTGTGGAATGCATAAAGAAAAATTTGCATATAGAGGGCAGCACTGAATGAGAATAGCTAATCTTGTGAGAGGAGGTAAGTACTGTATCTGAAGGTCAAGTTACTGATAGTGTTTTTTACAATTTTAGAGACAGAAATTGTGGCTATTGCAATTAGCAAAATAAATATGTAATTAAATAAATATTGATCAAATAAAAACTGACTACATACACAAAATGGAACTTTCTGATCAACAAAAAAATTGAAATTATAAGATTATAGGAAGTATTTCTAATGTTTTTTCAAAACACTGTCTCAAAATAAAATTTTGAAATTTCAGAAATGATAAAAAACTAAATTAAATTGCTTGAATTTTTTAAGCCAAAACTAAATATTACTTATTAAGGTTATTCTAAGTTCCATACAATTTGGTTAAATATTTTCATTGTCGAAACGAAAAAAAAATCAATGAATATGAATGGCACACCCCCTGTCAAGAAAGTGCTAAGGTATTTAAAATTCAGATAAGACATTTAAGGAAGTGTGACTTTTTAAATAAAGACCTGGCCTATGGAGTATTTTAAATGTGGTAAAAGTTACAGCATAAGGAGTTTAAAGAGAGATTGGATGGGTACTTTAGAGATCAAAGTTGGATAAGACAAACAGTATTTTTTCATATAGTTGGAAATTGAGTGGTGGCAGAGAATGAGATAGCCTACATGGGCCAAGTGGTCCCTTGTTACCTCTCAGGAATGAAAAAAAAAAGACAAATGAAAAGAACACTGGGAATGTACTTACTGTAATAACCCTCAGCATCATCCCAGTTGTCTGTCAGATTTGGGTTATCATGACCCCTAGCAGCAAATTGCTGGACAGCACTTGGGCTCTAGAAAAAATGAGTAACAAAAAAGAACGAATATAAACAACACTTCCATGAAATCTACAGACCATTAACTAATAGCTGAATTCTGAAATACTTATGAAAAGTTTTGTGATAATTATTATTTTTTTTATTTTATGTCAAAGCTACTGAGGTTATTTGTTGCTGTCTTTAATTTTGAACTGCTAACCTGAGGAAAGGAGATATCAAAAGTAATTTCCTCATCATGTCAAACTCACTTCTCAAAACAAGTGTTCCTGTCTTTTGTGCTCAAATAATAAAAACAATGTGATATGAGTTTTAGATATTTCTTTGAGATATTTCTGATATAATTCTGAAAATAAAAACAATAAACTGAAAACTGTATATCAATAAATTAGTAAGCTAAATTATTTTTCTCTAATTCTGAGAAGTTTAATTTAACTTTAAAAATCTAACATAATTTTATGACAAAAATACTGAATCTAACTGAACATTTTTCTACCTGTATTAAAAAAAATCATCAAGAAATACTTTAAAAGAAATATGCTCTTTCCATTAAATTAATACTGAATACATTACCACTTTACTATATCTTAATTCAATGTTTACTTATCCCAGTTTCAGCACCTGACCATAAACAAGATTTTCTTTGTAAGGTATTCCCATCTAGAAAGCAATTTCTAGAACAATCTGACAAAACTGGGCTATAACACTATTTCAACAGTTCTAATAAATAGGTATTGTACTTTGGTGCAATCAAAAGCCTGACTAATACAATTTGTTTGTTTCTTTAAATAAAGTTCACTTTAAACTCTTGGTTTTACTATATCTAAATTTGTTTAAAACATCTTAGCCCTACAGGTACAGGTGGATTGAAGTGGGAATGTCACGGTCTTTTCATAGAATTATATTCAAAATGAAATTAAACTACTTTGTTAACAATGTATGTCAATATGCCTGGCATCAAAATGTAGTTTATAATTCAAATGTTTATCTAAGTTTTAATTTTAAAAGGAAATATTTAAATACATTATCAATCTAGAATACTCAGAGTCATATGACTTTGTAGCATTGTGATTCCTCATTCATTTTTTCCCTTCCCTACAAATTTATCGACTTAAACGAAACACATGCTATAGATACCGTAAAGCTAAAATATTAAATTTCAACCTCTTTTTCTTTCCTGAGATATCAGGATATCCTTGTACAACTCACACTGACATGTCCCTCCCATATATTCTGTCTTGACATTGCTATTGGTCATGTTTATAACTACTAGAAAGAGCAAATCCTTTACTACATAAATCACATGATAGTCTGTGTTGTTTCTGCAGTAAAAACTGATAATTTGCTGTGAGAGCTCAATATGTTTGGAATGAAGACTTTATTCTAAGAATTAATGAAATTTTTTTAACCTATTTATACATTAGTTAGTAAGCCAGATAAGTTACAATAGTTTCCAGAAAATCTAATCTAGTAAGAGATATGTTTTTAGTTTTCTAAAATTCATATTCCAAAGCTACATGAATTATTTTTGGACAACCAACAGTGAGAAAAAAACAGGCTTACAAAACCACACAACTGAGTGCAAACAGCCTTAAGACTAAAGTGCTAAATTTCTTGGTTTTTATGTAAATCTTTTCTTTATTGTTATATATTTTTCGACAAAAGTAACTCAAATATAAAAAATTGAAACTTATTACATTACATACAAAAATTTAGAAGAAAGAAAAACTATATAAAAAATTTCTCATGATCAATTGCTTGTGGAAAGCATCTAACATTTCAGGTTTAATGTCACATGATGTAACTTGAAACTCTGTTTACCCTAAATTTTCTGCACTTCTTCCTGGTAATATATTGGTTGCCACAGTACAAAAGACAGTTCAAAGTATAATAATTAAACAATAACACTAAAAAACACATTTCAAAAGGTTAAAAACTTAAAACGTTTAGGATAAACAATTAAATTTGTCTTTTACAGTTTGCAGTCATTATAGAAAAAAAAATGTATTTCATTTCATACTTTTCAATTTTTCATTTTACTGTAAATAAATGAATTCACTACAGTTATCTTTTTTTTTAAACTATGAAGTAGTTTTCAGTTATTCTTAAGTCGAAAATATGAATATGTTTTGTCTGAGAATTAAACCTCAATCTCCAGATGAACTCTGTCTACTTGAAGCAGCATCAGAATCTGAATAAAATCTTAAATACTCAAGTACTTTCAGTTCCTGCTTAATATTTAAATCATTGACAGCTAAATTCTGAAACCTCATCCTTAGCCTCCTAGATCTTGAATAACTGATGTACCTCCAACTTTCCAGTGAATCTTAAACATTAACTTTCTTAGATTTCAATACACCTTGAAAAAAATGAGGTATATTTAAATGAACCATGAATGTATAATAAACTCTAAGGCTGCAGTAAATCTTGTGTACTTGAAGCACTCTCATCCCAGTGAATGATGAATGTTTGTAATATTCTTACACTCAAGAAATACTAAATAACTGAAGCATCCTAAGTTGAAGTGAGCTTTAACTACCCTAAAAAAAATATTAAAAGTGTCCTCATATTCCTCAAAATAAGCCTAGAATAACAAATATATCCTCATGTGAACCGCAAATATTTATCTGAATTACTCTTAAAATATAGTACGCCTCAAATATTTTAAGTATTCTAAGCTTTATGTGAATGTAGAATATATGAATGATCCTCAGACACCAATTAGTCTGGGATAATTATAGCATCTTCTGCCCACCCTCAATATAAATATGGAATATTTATATAAATCTCAGCCCTCTGATTATGTGAAACATTTACTGAAAATCAAGTACTCAAGTGTTTGTTCAGTGACTGACTAAGTGACTTTGAGCTTCCCCAGTGAGCTTTAAGAATGTATAGTGTCCTGATCCTCATTTTAAGCAATTAAAACAACTGACAATTTTATTCAGAGTGATATAAGGCTGTTTTTAAAAATTTTTCATATTGTATCAAAGATTAGAAGTATTTTTTTCCGAACCTAAAGTACAGCAAAATAAGTCTAAATGTAACAATTTTCACAATACAACGAAATGTTTGTCCATATTCTCTGAGATTTCAAATGCACAGTTACATTATAAACTAAAATACATTTCATACTTACATTATAGTTTTCAGCAAACATATCTGAATCTGTAAACATATCCATTGATGTCTTCTTTGCTTCTCCCGAATCCACAGAATTCTCATCTAGACCCATGATTTCTCTCTTAGCTTTAACAGTTTCTTCAAAGTCAACTGACTGTTCTGCATCAAATTTAGCCACAATCTACAAGGGAAATTCATACAGGAAGTAAACTAAATTTATTATATCAACAAGAATAATTTATGGACCAAATTTATCTGATTTCATTTGTTATTGAGAAACATTTGTAACAAGTACAAAACCATATAATTCTGATTCATTGTATCTTTCACACTGATTTATGTTAACAAAAAGGAGCTTGTACTAAGTACATCTATTACCTCTAACACTTTTCTTAATAGGAGTTATGACAGCTTACACTTACCACCAGATTTGGAGGTGACCTGCTCGAATCAAGGGGCTTACTGTTATAACTTGCCACACATAATACCAGAATACTTTTCATTCTTAACCTTTAGTTTGTTTCTTTCCCTTATCTCGCAAAGTTTTTGTATGAACTATAGAATCCCCTGTTGAATTAAGTTTCATTTCCATAGTAAGTAGCTTCTTGATTTCCAGTCCAACTGTGGGTACATAAATCAGTCAGATCACTGACAATTTACAAAATATTTATATTTTAAGCTGGTATTTACTTACACTCAAGTTTTCTAAATGCACTTACAAAATGTGAACAAGGTAAGATAATGTGTGTTTTTCTTATAGCAAAGCCACATCAAACTATCTGCTGTGTCCAAAGAGAATCAAACCCCTGATTTTAGCATTGTAAATCTGTAGATTTACCACTGTCCCAGTGGGGGACAGATAAGATGAAATGTACAGATATGGCCAAACATTTTACACTGCCCTATAATTTTGATTCATAAAGTCAAATGAAACCTGCTGAATAATGTTACATCAATGTATTGAGTAACGGTGCTTTGCCAGTTTCCGTATACTTAAACTAAAACTGACAAAAATTTTGAAATCTGACATAAAAATACACAATTTTTAAAAACTTCAAGAATCTTGACACATGCAATTCAATTACATGTAGAAAAATGGTGACAATTAGAAGTGGTATTGAGTAGTTTTAAGTTATATAAGCATGATATTTACAATGAATTTGTCACATCATAGCAAACATGGAAAAGGCCCATATCCACTTGAAAACACACTCACCTATGATTGCACATCATATGAAAGCTTTTAGCAGTTGTCAGACAGTTATGAAAGTCAAAGCAAAGTATCTAGAATCTTCCAGAACTATAAGACAAGAAGCTGTAAAGCTGCCCCAGATCTGAACATTCAAAAGCCAGCACTGCTCACTAAAATGAACTGAAACCATGTATAAAGAGTGCATGGAGGAATCTAAAGAATAGCTTAACCCTTTGGTGCCTCATCATGTTCATGCCCGAAAGAATTAAGGAAGTCTTAAAAACCAAGGGATGTACTGCAAATACTAATTAAAACTAATATGGCATTTGATACTTTTGCAAAATCAATTTGCAGTTTCTCTAATTAACACTTTCACTGTGGGCATCTTCTTGTGCGCATGTAATAGGGTTTTACTGAGTTACATTGAAAATTTAGCTAAACTACTTTCTTATCATTATATACAAATAAATTTGGCATAAAAATGCATCTAATAATCCATATTTTAACATTATAAAAGTTTTCCATTCTTAATTTTATAAGACACTTTAAACAAAATCCTCAATTCCCCTAGTATGAGAATTGTGACATTTTCTTTCTCTAGACATCTCCTCTTCTCTAATTTATTTACCACCCTTCAAAGAAGTACAAAGTTTAATGTAGATTACTCATTATAATGTAGTCATCACTAATACAAGGAATATTTTTTATATCTTTCAATCATATTTATTTACAGAGATGTTTAATATTTGATGTTATAACCAATAGAAAGCCAAGGTTTCAATCTATCAAATAGCATAATATACTACATTGTTTTCTGTACAGAGAATTTTCTATTTTGTTCCAGTTCAAACTTTATTCCCAAGGTAAATACATAGACGAGATTAGTTAAATTTTTAATAGCTCTTGTTGCATAGTTAGAAAGCCAGAAAAACTGTGATAGTTATGGGACACTGTCAGTTTTTTAAAGGTTATTATTCAGTGTTTTTTGATGCATTATTTAATTAAATAAAAACAAATTTAGTGCAGTAGTACCATCAGTATAAAAAAGTGGGTTAAGTGTTATTGACAGTCAACAGCAAAAAAAAGATGATGAAGAACCAGTTAAAGATACTTTATTTCTTGTTTTGTATTATTTATTTATTATTATAAAAGTAACTAAAATGTAAAAGTAGAAACTTTTTATGTCAGATTTTTCACAAGGTATACTAGCAATCAACTCATGAGTTGTTTGTGCATTATGTAACTCGATAGGGTTACATGAGCTACACATTTGCCAAGTAATTTACAAGCCTGAAAATAACGTTTTCTTCAGTGCTTGCTGTATCCACTGGCTGACACAGACAGTGATTGTCATATGCATTTTAATATGTATGATTATGCTACTGTAAACAGTCAAGGAAGACATGTGATAAAATTAATTATTTCTCTTGTTTTATTCTCATAATGTTCATAAAACCTGTAAATAATAATATTAAAAATGCCTATAAAACACAAACAGTAAATTGGAGTGACCTATAAAGTTTAAAAGCCAAAAAGTACTCCTGTCTCTGAATCAGTATAACTAAAAAGGACATTTTTAATACACCAATGTGCATCATTGTTACTCTCTGACTGCACCTCAGCCTCAAAACATGATAACTGGTCATTTACATTAGAGTAAGCACATTGTAATTATCTTTATGATATATTTTTTTTTATCTTTGTTTGTGATGTTTGTATTTCTTCCTTTTCTTTTGATTGGGTCTCCTAACTTTTCTTTCAGTCCACAACTTAATTACTGGGATCACATCAAAGGAACTAAGTATAGGACCTTCTCCTGTGATTCTAAGTAAATGGATTAGCCTTATCTCACCTGGAATCAACTTTCACAAGGTTTTAGTGACATACATTCAAATTTAATCTACTTTTTGTTAACGTTATTCCAATTAGTATAGCATAGAATTTTATCTAATAATCCACATTTTAATAGGATATAAGTTTTCAGTTTTTAATTTTATACAACAATATTTTAAAAAATCCTGAATTTCTCCCAGTGTGACACATTTTCTCTATGCATCTTCTCTTCTATATTTTATCCGCCACCCCTCCAATAAGTATGAAATTAAATGTAAATTACTCACTATAAATCATCATTGCTCAGACAAACCATAATTTTTATGTCCTTCAATCTTGTTTGGTTACAGAGCTGTCAAATATAAAAATAGACTCCCACACCCACCTGTCACATCCTCTCTTTCATGATTTGTTAATAGTTCTCACATATGTTTAATTCTATATTATCTATAACCAATAGAAAGCCAAGGTTTTCATCTATCAAATAATGTATTGTATAATGCTGTTTTCTCAATGAAGAATTATCAATTTCACTATTAGTACAAACTTTGTTCCCATGGGATAGATAACAACTAGCTTGGATGAATTTGTAACGGCTCTTGTCACATAGTGAGAAAGCCATAAAAATTGCGAGAGTTAGGGAAAATTTTCTACTTTTTGCATGTCATTAGTCTATGTTCTTTGGTGCATTATTTAATTAAATAAAAATTATTAAATGCATTACTGCCATTACTATAAAAAAAGTAGGGTTAAGTGTTATCGACAATTGACAGCAAGAAAAAATATTCAGGTAAGTAATTTATTTCATGTTTATTCTTTATTTATTATTATAAAAGTATCACAAATGTAAAAATATGGATCTCTTTAGGTTAGTTAAGGTTAGATTAGGTAAAATAAATAAAATAATAAAAATGTTTCACAAGGCATGCATACAAACAGCTCATGGGTAACGTAATGTGACCTCCATGTTCCCCAAGTGATTTACAACTTATAATGGCACAAATAGTAGTTAGACACAGTTCAAATAGAAATAAGACAATAAAATATATTCATAAATAGATGTATACTGTTATACGTTTAAATCTACCTAGGATAAACGAGTGTAGTTTCATATTACAATTTGAAGTCATTCCAGAAAGAAAAAAAGGGTAATTTAGATATATTTCAATTTTTTCTGGTGGTTACGAGGTCGGTCAAATGACCAATGTTGTATAGAGTTAGGGTAGAGAAAATAACAGATAAATTATAAAGTTTTAGTCAAAACAAACATTTGAAATGTATTTAGGTGGTTTTAGAGAATATACACATCAAATCTGAGATTTTTGAGATGGAAAAAAGTATTTTCAAACTTAATATGAAAATCACTTTGTACATGGATTATTTAAAACAAATACTTCATATATTCACAGACAAATTTAGTAAAAATACTTCATTAAAAAAACTGATTTTTTATGAACAAAATAATTGTAATGTGTAATAAAAGTCTGACAAATTTTGTAAAGATACAGACACTGTATCAAAAGTTATAGTATCAAAACTATATAAAAGTAAAAATGTTTTTATTGATAACAGAATCCTGGGCTGAATTTTTTCAGTGTTTATATGTATTGCCAAATTGTCAGAGTATTTTAAGTTAGCATTTCAAACAGAGAAATCAATAACGTGGGAAGACATTGTAAAGAGCAGTGTAAGAACAGGAGCAGAAATAAACAACCTCATATTCAGGGTTTTCTTGAAAGTTTCATTAAGGCCATCTAGCTTGAGTACATGTTCATCAATTGTTTGAGAACTTTATCAGAGTTGCTTGGGAACTTTTGACTGCTGATTATACTGTATCCATTTGATTTTATTTTCATATCTTACTGGTCAAATTCACCAGCCAAATATTTGGAAATAACACTGCAAATTGAAATATTGGCTACAATTGCCATGCCAGACAGTCTCCAGTACCAACAGAGTTGTTCCGGACAAACACAATTTTTAAGTCAGACATTGTCCATATCTGGCTGCTTATTTTCAGGATTGGATTTATAAGTAATATGGTGCAAATATTAGTTAAACATAACATATAAAGTTTTACTGAAAAGAATGTTTTATAAATATTTATGAGGTTTTGGAGATTATGCAAATGAAATTTGAGATTTTTCAGATGAAGA